TCAATATCATAGATTAACCAAAAATATTATATCAGATAAATAAACTCAATTTATATCAAGATTTTAAAAAATATTTTTTAAGATTTTAAAGGTGGTTATAAAGCTCTTTTTGTCTTTTATCTTTAAATTAATAGACAAACAAAAAAAAAATCAAATATTAGACTAGTATTTGAAATATACCATCAACTATCATCAAGATGACTAAACAATTTTTTTGTTATTAGAAGATTTTTGATACGATAATTTGATACATTCTTCTATTCAATAAACATCTTTTTTTTTTAATTATGGTTATTATTCATGACTTGATACTTTTGACTTTTCAAAAATTAATAATCCTATAATGAAAGATTTGACAAATTGTTTGTCAAAACTATATGCAATAATGAAAGAGAGTTAAAGGGATCTCAAGAATGACAAAAGATTAATACAAATACCTATTATAAGGAACAATCACAATTCAATGTGGATGACAAGATATGATTACTTTGTCACAATATCAAGATTATTCATCCTTATAATAAGTTGGACTATTGTAGGCTTAAAACTTTTATTATTTATAAATAAGTCAATCCAATTGCTTATCAATTACATCTACCAGAGCTTATGAAGATCCATCTTATATTCTATATGTCTCTTTTTTAATCATATAAGTCAATAAATATCTTGAAAAGAAGACAAATGCCACTTTCTCTTATAGAATTAGATACTAATCAAGAATTCAAAATAGTAGAAGTCTTAGATTCAAGTCAATGCCAAAATACATTCAAATATCTTATTCATTGGCATGGATATGATATTAGTGAATGCACATGGGAACCAGTAAAAAATCTTCAAAATGCAATAAAGAAGGTTGAGACTTTTTATCTACAACATCCATTAAAATTAAGATGAAGAATAGCAAGATCCATAAATGATGATAATCACTCCTTGTAGAATTCATTTCTAAAAAAAAAGAATAATATCACAGACATATATATATATATATTCACTTCAATAATTAACTATTTGATTAAATAGAAGTAAGTAAAGATAGATTAATTTCATTATATCTTTTAAAAAAGCTTTATAGGTGTAGTTTTGACTTTATAAGTATTTGTAGTTGATTGATAGGTTAGAAACTTAATCAACAAGTTAATCACATACTATATGTATTAATAGCTTACAAAATAAACTAACTATGTGGCATACATATAAAAAACTTGCCTTGCAAGTTAAAACAAGTATCTAGCAAAGTCAACTTATGTTAAAGATCCTATAGAAAATTATCACATAGCTCCTAGTTAGATAGTATATATAGAAGTAAGAGTAAAGCCTTCTTCATTCTTATCAATGTTCGTTTAGTCTTTAGTCTTATTTCAAGAATTTCTAGTCTTCTTATCTTTAGCAATAGCCATTCTAGTTTAATATATTACCATCTTTGAATAATTTTCTTATCTTTTTGAATGACACAAGAATATATTGAAATTCTCTTTTTTTGAGCTTCATATCCTTGACAAGTGGGATGTGATTTTTTTTTTTTTCTTTTTTGGCATTATATCAATAAGTTATAAATTTAGGTCACTATAAGGACAAAAGAAAATTGTGTATAAAGAATTTATGTAACTTATATTGTAGAAAGTAATGAATGCATTTAAACATCACTTCTACCATATTTTGCTACATATCTTAAAGAATTAAAAATTCACTACTTCTTTCAAAAATCTTGAAATTTTTTTATGTATCATTTTTATATTAATTTTTTTTAAATATAAAGATTTTTAAATTTATTTTTATAATAGATTTTTTTTCTCTTAAAAATCTATTATATTTTTTTATATTATACATATTATGTCTATCTTATTTTTAATATTTATATAGCATTATTATTGATCTATTCTCTTTCTAGAATGCCTTGTATTACATATATCTATTTTAAAAATTAATATGTAGAATATATTTTTTTCCAAAAACTTATGTTGTTTTTTTCAAAAAATAAAGTTAAATTTAAAAAAAATACATGTTCAATAAAAATATTAAAAAAGAAAAAAATATATCTTTATTCTTTTATCAAAGATACTTCTTTGAAATGTTTTTTTTAATATAAAAATTAAAAACAAAATAAAACTGTATAGTTTAAGTTCAATTACAAATTCTTTAGCTAATCATGTAGTTGTTAAAAAAAAACATGGTTTTGAAGTGACCAATGAATGTACCCAGAGTACACTAATTATTCTCTGTGCAGCAACCACTGCTTCAAATTCTAATAAAATTAATTTTTGAACAAAAACACAATTATATTCTAAAATACATTTTTCTATTAAAATTATCATGCAGCTCAAATATGTGATAAAAAAAGAATCCTACCATTCATTAAATTTTGATTTGGAATTCCAAGCCTATAAAATTTTAATTTCTGTCATAATGTAATTAATATGTTTGCCAAAACATGATTCCATGTCTACCACCATATTATCTCTGTCTTTAGTGCAGAGCAGAGCAACTCCCTTTACAGAATAATTATGATCAATTCTGCAATTTGTACTTCCTCCTTTTCAACCTCTTTTACAATAATAGTGATAATATTATATATTGTTTAACTAAAAAAAATCTTCTTTTTTACACCTTGGGAAAGTAATTGGCCCACAGCAAGCAAAGCTGTCCTGCCAATTAGACCTTTTCTGAAGTTTTTTTTTTTTTTTTTTTTTTTTTTTTTTTTGGGCAAATCCACAAGCACCTCCCATGTTCTTCCTTTTTTTTGCTTTTTCTTCTTGTTCACTTGGTTTATTTTTTCTATGTGTTTTTCTACACCCTTTTTATGTATTTATGACATGATCTACAGCCTTACATGCTCACTAGCCAAAAGACTTACAAGGTGCTCACAAGACATGCACATGTATGCTATATGATACAAAGGACCATAATACATCACATCAAATCACACATTAAATCACATCACATCACACATTAAATCACATCACACTTCACAACACATCATACATCACAATGCATCCCATAACAATACATCATAATGTGTCACATGTGTTTGTGGTAACAAAGAGTTGGGCTTTCCCACATTCCCATACCTACATTAGAGTTGGTGATTGTAGTACCAATAATAACAACAATAATAATACCACCATGGCTACACCCATTTCTATAAGTTTGCAAAAAGTCAATGCTTATATCCCATATGTACCACCACCAAGGCCCTTCACACCCACAAACAAAGAAATTTAAATGTAAATGAATTAAAAATATGTTAAGGAGATGGGGTTGCATCTTTGACACCTTGGTTTTTTATTGGGGTTTTATTTTGAAGTTTAATGTCAGTTTTAGGGTTTACAAAGAAGGTGAAGTATGATGATAATGATCTATCTTTCTGATCATCACTTAATGCCCTAATGTACACCCCTACACCCCTTTATTTGCCATGCAACTTCACCCACCAATCATCCAACTATTCATTGGAGCAATGGTTCAAAAGGAGCCAAGTCAAAAAAGTAATTAAGAAATCAAAAACACAACTAAACAAATAAAAATTAATTCAAAAAACTAAAAACACCCAAAATGCATGTTAAAGGATGTGTCTCTTCATTACAGCCTGACCGGTCTATTCACAAACAACCTCTTACATTATATTTAATTATCATTATTTTAGTTCTGAAATGACAGGACAAAAATATTTTTTAGAATGTGAATGGAATTGTCATGTTATTGATATTTTAAAACTCAAAAATCATGATCATTAGCAGTTATGGTAAATAGTGGCATTGTATGTAACAATGCAGAATGAATGTGAGAGAAACTGGGGTGGTGGAAGGAAGGGATAAGTGACTTAATAAATATATATATATAAGAAAATAACATTTCCACCAAAGTTTTATTATTTCTACCAGCATTGTGTTGCACCCACCACATTGTTATTATTTATTTTTTTTTTTTTGATGCGTTCAAATATATATATATATATATATATATATAAAAATCAATGCTCAAATACACCTAACATGATGGAGTTGTTGTTTTAGAGCAAGGATAATACATGTGCCTCATTATAACTCTGTTGAGAGTGGGTTTCTAGAGAGCACATATTTCTTTCTACCAAAATGCATACATGAAATGTGTTGTTGACATATAGTAATTGGAGTGTGGTAGGTGCAACATGATGTATGGTATAAATAATAAAATTTAGATGGAAATATTATGTCTCTACTTTTATTATGAAAGAGTGTCATTAGAGGATCAATTAAAGAGATTGGACCACATATTTTCTTTGGAAAAATAAAAATAAATAAAAAAATTCATTCAATCCTTATTACATCTATTATTATTGTTAGTTTTTATTGCATCAAAGATTGTCAAAAATTCAGTAAGAATAAAAAAATTATAGAGAATATAAGTACTTTCTATGTGTTGTCATGTTGAGTACTAGATATAAATATAATTTATTGATATAAGAAAATAATAATAATAATAAAATGGTTTTTCTACCTGAAAATCACTCATTTCTTTAGAACATATGTAACTCCTTCTCTTGTCATTTAATGCTCTCTATTGACTTCTTCCATAGTGGTTATTGATTAAATAAGGTTCTTTGATGATGTCAAACAATTCAAAATGGATCTAATCTCATAAAATTAATACAAAAAAAATTATATATAAAAATGAATAAAAGACTTGCTCACTTTCATGGAATATTTTTTTACTTATTAATACTTAAAATGATTTGATAAAAATATTTTAATAAAATAGAGTAGATTGATCATAAAAACATCCAAAAATCTCTATATGGTGGCAATGTTCTTCTACTACATTAGCATTTATGTCTTAAGTGAATTCATTTTAGAAATCAAGATGGAAATTCATCAACATTTTTTTTTTTTTTTTTTTTTTTTTAAAGATTTGAATGATACTTATTACTTATTTTTGTACCTATTTTTTTAAAAATTTTATTTTTTATAATTTAAGTGATATAATTTATGTAAAAAAAATAATAAAATAAAATTAAAGACTAATGAATCAAATCAAAGATTGAGAGACAAACCATTTTACTTCAATAAATCATTGAAAGCAAACCACATGGTATGAAAACCACATTAAATTTTACTAAAAAAAATGATTGATTAAATAATAATAATAGTAACTATTTTGTAGAGTCGTTTCGGCTAAACTTCCAAGATCTCGTACCAAATGCATTATTTGAAAGGGTACCAATTTGTAGCGCCAATTCACTCTCCCAATCGAAAACTGAAATTTATGTCATTCTTCCTTGAAAGTTGAGCGGGAGATTTGTACACTTACTCCAGGCTGCATCTCCATCCATCAGATCCACGCTATTATTTCCAGCCCCTTCCCTTCATTCAATGTAGAATAGCATGCTATGATAGTACCAAATTCTCGGTGTTTTAGACAACCCCATTATTGCTCAAAATTTATATGCATTTCCCACCCCAAAGGTATTGGTTTTGATTGTCCTAGATACAACCCACCAACCAGGAAATGAGATCAGAGATGCTCATGGCAAACGATCAAAGGGAACTTATAAAAAAATAAACTTGCATACATTTGAAAAGCGAAAATGTAGAGTGAGCAGAGTACTTCCCTGCAATTTTAATGGCCTTTTTTTGCAGAGACAGGAATGGTGGATTGGCCTGAATCAGAAACTTCTCTCTGAATGTGTCAGTCCTGCAACGACAAAATTGTGTCTTCTTGAAAAACCTGGGAACCTTACTTCTTGCAAAATCATGAGAAACTAAATCGTTGGAAGTCATTTCCAGCAACATTCCACGTCGCAGTGGCCGATGATAGAGCGGAAATGTTTTGCAAACGTAATTTGCTAACCGAAAAATATCTTCTGAATGTTACAACTCTAGATTTCCTAATGACGCACCCACAGCCCCTCGCAAAACATGACATAGGGACCTTGGGAGGTGGTGACACTTCTCATGCCCAGGAAACCTTGATCAGAAAAATATTCACTTGTGAACCACCGCAACACCAGCCGATGCACACGCTTTCACTGGGTTGAAGTTCACAAATTTGTTCAAGAGACTGCTTCACTCAGATGGCAGCCCTGTAGAACATTGGGATATGGAAAGCATAGCACCAAGCAAAAAAAATCACAAATGACTCTAATAAGTCCCTGTTGTTGCAAATCAGAGAACGTTTTGTTGTTGGAGGCAATGCGAACATGGCCTTCAGAGGCTTCTAGATCTGGACGCCATTTGTTATCTCCTCGTGTCTTTTGAACCCTTTCCCAAAGAGAACTTGCATGCTGACCCACGAAGTTTGAGCAGATCAGGTTTACCGATGCAGGTATAGCTTTTTTAGGACAAATCGGAAAGCACACAAAGGTGATTATAGGCCAACTCAGAATTGATCGAAGAGGCAGATTTACCTTATCAAACAGGAAACCTCTTCCTGCTCAGCTTCCATCTCTTTACAGGTGAGGGCTTGCTTCTTCTCTCCGTGTAACATCGTTTCTTCTATGGCCTGCATCAGTCATATTTCACAACCTTTACAGTAGGATTCTTAACACATTCGATGTGAAAAGAGTAGAAACTGTAAAACACTACAACATAACTTGATAACCGCTGCACAAGAATATACATATTTTCATATAAACCAAACTCAGTAACGACATGCACAATATAACGACTTTTTTTTATTTATTTTTATTAAGTAAAAAATTATGTTGAAATGTTTTTCATTTTACTTATTAAAAAAACCACGTTCACGCCGAAGTCACTGAAGTATACCTTTCGCAAAAGCTGACGCAAACGCTGCTCCTTCACCTAAGCCAAAGCAATATTTTCAAAGCAACAACCGACGGTGGAACCGTGTTATCTGATTTCATAGAAATAGAGGACTGGAAACAATTGAGAAAATGCTTACAATCTAGCGATTCTAAAGAAAATCCCTGCCACCCAAGCTTTCCAATACACTAATACATTTTAAACGAGCCTTCAAAAGTACATGATTGTGAATCTGATGGTTCAACGGTCCTAAGCAACTGAAGGTGAATCGCACTGAAATCAAGTGGAAATTCGGTGAACTAAACTCTTGGTGCAATGAAAAGCAATCATAACCATGTTAATAAGAAATTTCTACCCGTTCGTGTAAGATGGTGGACTAGTTATTCTTAAACCTCGTACTATCTTTGGTGAGAAAAAGCTGCTTCACGCGTTGATGAGGAGTGCCACCTATCTTTAAACCTATAGCTGCTAGAGGCGGAAAATATTTAAGAACATAACAGCATATGCATCAATATTCGACACAACAGAGCGAGCAGGTTAAAAGAAGGCAGCAACTACTTTTCATCGTTAATGCAGAAAGCGACAAACTCGTACCTGTTATCCACAATCATGCTCATATATGACCGGGCAATTTAGATTTGGATCAACTAAAGACAAACTCTCAGTAGAATGAATTCCCGCACGTTGGAATGAGTCGCATGCAACCTCTGTCGAAATGCAATCACTGCAATTGAAAGGAAATTCAACAGCACATGCACCTGTTTAAGACGATCAGGGTCAAGCTCCATGAGCTCCTCTACACTGTAATAATCATCTACGACAATAAGCGGTTGCACTACCAACGTCTGTGCAGTTCCGGAACCCTCGTCTTCCCATCCTCGGACATTGCAAGCATTCCACCTTTCCTCGAACTGTGCATCAACCTGCGTACAACAGATGGAATACAGATATATGAACTCAGAGAATCGGCTGGACATACTGCAGGTAAGGTCTTCAATACACAAATGATATTTGATCTGAAGGAGAAGAAGACAACTATAAGGCCATGCATATTCTGTTAGAATTTGCAGCACCGAACGAAGAACACTTACTTGGATAACTTTATACTGATTAAGGTCATCTGTGTTCATGAAAATTCGCCTAAAACGCAGAATATGCTATTGGCTGCCAATACTAAAGCTCAAGAATTGATTGTGCATTGCATGCGAATTTAAGTATATTCTGTTGGTTTCCTCAACAAATAACATTGCTCATTAGAATTACTTTACGTAACAAAGCATAATACTGTCAACGCCAAACTTCAACAATGCCCAACGATTTTTCTTAAACAGCTTTTGAACTGCTGCATCTTACAAATACCAAAGCCAATGCTCAAAGACCGAAAAAAAAACACCAAAGGCAAGGAAGTGTTCTGATCCTTAATTGTACATATTATACAACAAAAACTAAACCATCGTCAAGTCTCGTATAAAACACTTCCAGCATAGATATGAACGTCCTCCCAGCAACAGCTAATGTAAACAACCTGATGTGTTCAAGCACACAGCTCACAAAAACAATGAAATTCAAGCCAAATTTATTTCTTAAGAGTCGTTTGCAAAAAGATCGTGAAGAATATTTTGGCCTTGATCTTGAACCCCGAGAGAAACAGTTCAATTCTCTCTACCATATTATCATTTGTTTTCATTAGTGCCCAAACTCATTTATAGGAGAATTTCAATCATGCCACACATGGGTCATATTTCATTTGCATAATAGAACCCGAAACCGTGTTCATAAGCTCGCAGTTGTAGTGAATGTGTCATCAAGGCTACTATTTTAATGATACCCATGACTGTTAGATTTTAACTATCATCAAGACCATTAAACATTTTTTGTTATTAATAGGATTTGTTATAATAATATGATACATTCCTCCTTTAAAGAAATACTTTTGTTTAATACCTATAATTTTTTAATTTTTATTTTTAGAAATAAAAAACACAAGAACAAAAGATTTGACAAATAAAATAGCAAAGTTTTACATATTGATTAAGATACATCTAAAAGAATCTTAAGAACAAAAAAAATAAAAAATAAAAAATTATAGATATCTTTTGGAAAGAACAAAGTTTGTTTTAAATTAGTGATAATATATGATTACTTTGTTGAATTATCAAGACTAATTTATTTTGTGACAAGTTGGATTATTGAAAGTTTAACTTACTTATAATTCAAAAGTAATTTGAGTTAGTTGAATATAGTTTGTAATTACCACAAAGATATATTGTGTATTTTATACATATTTCATTGAGCTTTATACTACAATCAATGTACCAAAAAGAAAATAATTACCACTAACTTTTATTGTATATAAGGCTAAACTAAAATAAATTTGAATATATTATTTATTACCATAAATACAATAATAGTGAATGTACATGAATGCCATTCAAGAGCCTTATAATTGCATCAAAACTTATTTCTAATTTTTATTAATAACATCCATTAAAATCAAAGACTAACTTTTTACAAGAAGATGGTATAAAACAAGAAAGAATAACTTCAAGCATCAATTTTTATAATTTCTTTGCATAGTAGAGAACTTAAAGTTAATAAATTTATCTTAAAGTTTCTTATTTGTAAAATTACTAGATAAATATTTAATTTATTTCAATCTTTACAACATAAAATTAAATTTAAGATAAAAAAAATAAAAATAAAAAGACATATCTTTGCTCAAACATAAAGCAAGATATAATATATATGGTACTATTATATAAAAAAAGACTTTCAATGCATAGTGATACTATTAAAGATAGATACTATAGATGTTAGTATTTAAAATGTATTATTTGAACATAGTTATGAAGGCATAAAATTGATTAAATAAATAGGTGGTCTTCTTACTTTGATATAGGATATCATCAATAGCTCAAATGGCCTACCAACTACCTTCATGCAAATCATAGATTGGAAATTGTTGCATATAGCTTTTGACAAATCTTCAATTTCATCAACTTATAAAACAACTTAATCACTCTTTATGATACATATACCTAGAAAAGAAGATAAAATAATAAATGCTTATATTACTTATATAAATAAGAATAATTAAAAATAAATAGAAACATATTTCTTAAAAAATATTAATGAATTATATTAAAAACAAATTTATTTTTTATTTTTTATTAAATATACCACATAATTATTCAAACTTAACATATAGATTTCTTACTTTAAAGTTATATTCGAAACAACCTACAATTTGAATGCTTAGGCCATAAGAACTTGTGATCTTTAAAAAAACAATTCTATGTAGATTTGTTAATAGATATTATACAAAGAAGTAAGATAAAAAACCATTTTCAAACATATGAATATTTATTTTTATACTCTAGTTTTAGTTAACTATTCTTTAGAATTTTAGAATTTATAAATAGTCTTTTTTTGTTTTTTATTTTTTTGTTTTATATTTATTTATTTTTGTTTATTTTTTATCTTTTAATTAATACATAAACATATATTTGTCATTTAAATTTTTATGTAGATTTATGTCTTTGAAATGTTAATATTCTTATTTAAATTTTAAGTCATTGTAAAAATATATTCAAATAAAATTTATTTAAATTTGTTTTTGAATGATTTGTATAATATAATTTAAATATTAGAAAACCTCAATTAAGTCAAAAATAAAAAAAAATATTGAGTTCTATTGAAGCTATAAAAATAAATTAAGTAAATTTATTTAAATTATTTAAATTAACAATAAGATAAAATAGAAATTAAATTGAATTAAATTAGAGATATATTCTTGATATAATTAGGATTTTAAATTTCTTTAAGCAATTGAATGCAAAAATGAGAAATTTTAAGTATTTAGAATGTTTTAAGGATATTAAAATAAATTAAAGAAATAAAATGGACATACTAATTATATTTTTTACTTCAATCAAATAAATAAATATATATATATATATATATATATATATATATATTGATTATCTTTGTGAAAAAAGAATAATACCAAAGTTTTCTAGTATATTTTATAATATATATATATATATATATATATATATATATATATTTAGAAATAAATTGAAGCACAAAATTTCCAAAAAGTAATAATAATAATAATAATAATACTAAATTTGAAGATATTTATGAAATTTATTATTTAAGTATAAAAAATTTAGAAGATTGAATTTTAATATCTATATAAAATTTTATTATGATTTTTTTATATAGTATTTTAAATTAATTAAATTTACAATTATAAACTTCCTCACTTTTAATACTTATTATTAAAAACTTGTGCTTAATAAAATAAATATAAAATTTTATAATAAAAATTAAATAAATCTAAAAAAAATATTGAAATAAACAATATTAGACATATGCAATTAACCAAATTGGAGTTAAAGAAATTTAAAAATTGTAGCACCAAAATAATTTAAAAATTCAAAAAAAAATTTACATTGTGAAATTAATTGTATTTGTATTAACTAATATAAGTACAAATTATTAATGTACAAGTTAGGTAGTAATTGTTTTAATAATTTTTTTATTTATAATAAAATAAAATTTAAAATATTTTCTATTAATTTTAATCTATAATTTTATGGGAATATTGAGTAGACACTTTTTTTTATAGCAAGGACACTACTTTCTATTATGCAAACAATACACCACTACTATAGTTTTTTTAAACAAATTAGATACTAATGTGGCTAAAAGATACATAACAACAACAAAAAAACAACCTACAATATATAAACATTAGCAACATAGAAATTAATCAAAGAAAACAAAATAATTTAAAAAAATGATGATAAAAAAAAGTTAAATCAACAATCAATGTTAATTTCATTGCTTGAAGATAAAATTACTTTAGATTCAAAAGAATAATTTTTTATTGATAAAAAATTACCTTTGATTTTTTTGATATAAAATAAGAGCATCTAGAGATGGCATTTCAAAAAAATTATTTTGTTTTTTTATTGATAAGTAATATTGAATATAAATCTTAATAAATACAATCTCTAATTGGCTTGTCAATAATTTAAATTATGTACCAACATAAAATTCTTGAGATTCTTGTGATTTGTATAAAAATATAGAAATGAAAGATATCATTAAAATTTAAAATATTCCTAAAATTTCTTTATTTTACTTAAATATATCTTTACATATCAAATTTGTAATTAGAGATACAATTTTTTTTTTAAATCTTAATAAAAATTAGATAGTAATTGGTAGATTTTAAAAAACATTAGGTGTCTTTTAATGTTTGTAGAATCTTTCAATCCATGATAGTTTGAACTTTTTTAAGATCTATTACAA